TGCTATGCAATTAGTGTTTGTGTCCCCCCAAAATTCATATGTTGAAGCTTAATCCCCAACGTGAGGATATTAGGAGGTGGGCCTTTGGGGGGTGATTAGTCATGAGTGTAGAGCTCTCGTGAATGGGACTGGTGTCCTTATAAAATGAGAAAGAGACCAGAGTACTCTCTCTGCCACATGAGGACATAGCAAGAAGGCAGCTGTCTGCAAACCAGAGCCTTCGCCAGACACTAGCTCTGCCAGCACCTTAGTCTTAGAAGCCCAGGCTCCAGAACTGCAAGAATTAAATGTCTGTTGTTTAACTCACCTAGTCTACGGTATTTTTCTTATAATAGCTCAAATTAAGACACGAGAGATGGAGGAAGGGACCATGAGAAGTTTGAAAATGCTCCACAAATTATTCTGATACGCACACCAGAGATGCCCTAAGCTCTGAAAGCTGGGGGTGGAGGGAAAGCGGAGTGCAGCAATCCTGACCCTAAACAAGAGGATCAAAGGGACCCTGATGGATTCCACCAGCCTGGGCTGGACGTACAAGGCATATAGCTGGATTACTATACCCAGGCACTGCGGGGAAGACATCCCACTGTATCATTTATATTTATTCTTGTGTGACATAGAAGCTATCCAGACTCACCAATGCTGAACTATACTTTACACAAAGGGTTCAATTTAATAGAGGAATCAGGTGTGGGAAGAATTAATGTTGCGGCCAGCCTCCCCGCCCCTCTGCATCCATCCCCCAGACCCCAGAGAAATGCCAGTATCTGGGAAAGAAAAAAATTAGTATGTTAATATAATAGAATCTCAGGCTTGGAAAGCAAATGTGATGGTTACCTAGCCCACTTGCTATCCTATGCATTCCTTCCTTCCACAATAACACCAACAAATTCATATAACCTTATTGGGTACTTTCTCAAAGCACTCACTTGAGGTTGCACAGCTCTGACTAATCTGCCTCACTGCTAGCAGAAATGTGTTCCTCTCTTGGGTCCTAGTGCCCGCAGGTATCACAGAGCCCTTCCACGTAAAGGCCCTGGACATGGGTCAAGTCCTCATTACCCGGATGTCTCACCGAATCCCAGGTATGTGGCTGCTCCATGGTGAGCCACCACACAGATTCTCACAAAGGCCAAGAGATGTTTCAACAAGCTCCTTACCAGAAGCAGAGAAGCCCTTAGTTGTCTCTTAACCACTCAGCTATTGAGGAAGTGGTCGAAATTTCTAAATTGTTGTCAAGACAACCAAAGTCCAAATATAAATCTCTCTGGGATTCCATCAGGAAGCAGTGTTTAAGTGCAGGCACACACATACTCAGAGGGAATAACAAAATAAAGATCTTCTCCTCCTCCTCCCTCTCCTTCTCCTCCTCCTCCTCCTCCTCCCCCTCCTTCTCTTCCTCCTCCTCCCTTTCTCTCTCTCCTGCTTTTGCCACGTGGTGATGTGTGTTAAAAATGCATACTGGGAAACTTTCCACCTTTGGGGTTGAAACAGCTGCGGCCTCAATATTGTTTTTGTTAGTGTTTTTTTTTTTTTAACATACTTTGCTGTTTTTAAGGGTGTTGTCTTTAAGCTACATGTTTCATAATACTAGTTCAGATTACACAGTGGGACGATTCGTACTTGATTGGCAAGAATGAGACTCATGGGGTCCTAGGAGTCCAAGGCCCCTGGGCCTGTCAAGCACCCCTCCTGCATGGCTAACTTCCACAGATGGCCCAGCTTATGCCAGGAAAGGGCATTCCCAAAGGCTTGCCGGGCCGTCCCCATGTGAAATGAACATGACAAAGTCCACACGTGAAATGCGAGCCGAGACTTTATAACAGGTAACCTAAAAAAACCCAGTGTTCTCGAGTCCTTGGTTTTCTAAGAGCACAAAACATTCAGAGAATGTTCCACAGGCCATGGTCCCTCCCATCTGGGAGCATTCACCAAGAGAAGTAAGATCAAACATGCCTACCCATGCCAACAGGAGAAGGATCAGGTAAAGGAGACATGCCACCTGGCCCACTCCCACCTGTTGCACATGACCCTAACATCAAGAGGCCTGAACCTCTGACCCATGGAGTGAACAGGAGACTATGGCAAAGAGTCACCAGCAGGAAGCCTGGGACAGAAGTTTGCACTGTCCATGCCTAAAACAACCTGCACCTTAAATGAGAAGCATGTCCCTGGGTAATCAAGGATGAGCACATGGCCAGGCACAAAAAGATCAACCTCTCAGCCTTTTCTGTGAGACAGTAAGACTTCAGTTACGGGGTCCACATTCTCTATCACTTCCTAAGGGGGATCCAACAGTGATCCTAATGGGGGTAACTGAGGGTGTGGCAGCCAGGGTCTTGGTCATACTGAGACTTCAAGGAGGTGTCGCATGGTTAAAAAACAGGAAGCTGAGTGCCAGCCACATGCAAGACTACTCCCAGAAAAGACAGACCTCCCTAACCCAAAGAACAAGGGAGCCTGCAGTTCCTGTTAACATTTTGAAAGCACTTTTGGACTTAGCATTGACACCCTCTTCCATCCTCTGACCCAGCGGTTCTCTCACGTCAAGAGAGTAAGCTCGAGGCAGGCAGAGTGGCTTTGATCTCCCTCGAGTCATCCCACCCAGGGAACCAGTCTGTTTGGACAAGCAGCTAGACTGCAGCCTGCTGCACACAGCTTGCCCAGCAAGGGACCAGCCAAACCAGACAACTGAACAAACTTTGCTCAGTGTGGGTAACAAGGTCATTTGCCCTTTCAATAAGATATCCTCTGACTTCAGTAAGACTAAAACGTATAGCCACACTCAAGAAGAAAGGAGGCCACAGATGAGGTGTGATACAGTTGATGCTTCAAAGCCTCTATCTGCCCAGAAACCTTTCCTGTCTCTGTGTCAGCACTCATCCAAGTTCAAATTCCTACCAACAGAGACACAAAGAACCAGCAAACAAAGGTGAGGCACTGTCTGCAGGGAGCCGCTCAAAGAGTGTGTTTCACTCCTGGAGAAAAGAGAAAAAGAAGTTAAGAGAATGCTGCCAGCTTCCTCATCTCCCAGGCTTGTTAATTGTCACCTTGGACTCACAGATGAGCAGGAAATGGTACCGTATATCTTAAGAGATCATCTGGCATAGTCCTCTGCCTTAGGAGGGAAGATGTTATGAAGCCCATTTCACAGATAAGGCAACTGAGTCTGTCTAGAACTGCACAGCTGGTTACTGGGAAAGGAAGAGGGCCCAGCTTTCCCGCCCCCTGACACAGGGCTGTGGCCACCGATCAGTGTCCTTGCAGAAGGATATAGAGACTCATCCTTAAATACTGAAATTGAAAATAAAGAGTCATGTGATGGGGCAGGGCCTGTGCCATCTAAGGTGACAAGAGAGAAAGAGTCGAAAACGGCAAAAATATTTCCCACTCCGTTTTTTCCCATGTCAAACTGCCTCTTGATTCCTTGGGACACAACATTCCTTCCCAGTCTTTGGACGCTGCAATGGCTCCTCAGAAGGAAGCATGGGACTCCCGGAATTCACCCCTGGCCTGTATTGCGGAGCCTGGCGCACGGCGAAACCCACTGCTGCAGCGCAGCAGGTCAGAGCAAGACCAGCGCGGCGTCCCAGCCAGCGGGCCTGCCAGTGGCTGGGAAGGGGGCCTTTGCCTGGCGCCCTGGGATTCCAGGCCAGCGGGACAATCTCGTCAGTTCAAGTAATCCTGTGGCAGAGCCCAGTGATGGGAGACAGTGGCCTGCCCCACTGTCCTGCCCAAGAGTCCGGCACAATTCAATCCTCACCTAGAATAATTTCCTCTTTATACAATTCTTGTATGTCCATCGTGACAGACCAGTCAGCACAAGAACGGGTCCACCGGGTCGCTGCTCTTTTTTTAGCAAATGGTTTTCTTGGGAGACGAGCTCTGCCAACCACTAGGGCAGCACACCAGGCGTCGATGCCAAAGGCTGCTGAAAACACGCCTCAAGTCAGCTCTTCTCTGAAAAGCAGTAACTCTGGAACTGGACGTGGGCACCGGAGGAAAGGACCCTAAACAAGGTCCGCATTCCCAGGGCAGCTTCCGAGGGGCTGCGCTGTCACCCGCCGCGGCCGGCGAGGACTGCCTGGGTTTCCTTTGTTTCTGGCGGCTCCGCGCGTCCCGCGGGCGGGGAAGGACCCGGTGCGGGTGCAGCGGCGGCGACCGGGCCGTGTCACCGCCTGGCCACGGCGGCCGGCGCCCTCCCCGCGGGCCGCGCTCTCCGCGCCTCCCGCCGCCACCCCGGGGCTCCTCCGCGCTGGGCTGCCGGCGCTTCTGCTTTTGTTTAGCTCGTACCGCAGCCGCACCGGCGGGCGTCCAGGCCGAGCAGCTTAAACTCCCCGCCGGAAGGAAATTATCAAAGGCGGAGGAGAAGCGCTCGGGGCCGCGGCCACCTGCCCGGCCCCGCCGAGGGTCGCGCGTGCCCCAACCGCCCGCAGCCAGGCGAGGCCGGAGCGGGTCCCGCGAAGGCGCGGGCGGGATGGAGCGAGACGAGGCGGCCAGGGCAGCTCGGACCCGGACTCCGGCGGGCAGGGGCGGGCGCGGGGCCACGGGGCCGAGGGGCGCGCAGACCGGGGGGACGCGGGGACCAGGGGGCGAAGGGCCGGGGCCGAGGGGCGCGCAGACCAGGAGGGACGCGGGGACGAAGGGCCGGGGCCGAGGGGCGCGCAGACCGGGGGGACGCGCAGACGAGGGGGACGAAGGGCCGGGGCCGGGGGGCGCGCAGACCGGGGGGACGAAGGGCGCGGGGCCGAGGGGCGCGCAGACCGGGGGGACGCGGGGACAAGGGGGACGAAGGGCCGGGGCCGAGGGGCGCGCAGACCAGGGGGACGAAGGGCGCGGGGCCGAGGGGCGCGCAGACCCAGGTGGGGACGCGGGGACGAGGGGGACGAAGGGCCGGGGCCGCCGAGGGGCGCGCAGACCCGGGGGGCGCGGGGCTGAAGGCAGCGCACAGGACTGGGGCGCGGGCCGCGGGCTCCCGGCGGACGGCGGCCAGCACTCACCCCGAGAAGGCACACTTTGAGCTCCCGTATCGCCATCATGTGCTCGGGGCCGGGCCGGGCCGGGGCTCTGGGGCATCCTCCGCGCCCGCCCGCCCAGCCGGCGTCCTCGCGTCTCGGCCTGGCTCGCGCCGCCCGCGGGCGGAACCGTCGCCGCGGCTATTCTGGGCCGGCCCGCCCCGCCGCGGCGCGTCACGTGGCCCCTGGCTCCTCCCGGGCGCGGCGGGTCTAACCTCGGCGGCCCCGCTCCCGGGAACGCCCCCGGACGGCGTCAGCCGCCCGCACCCGCGCCGGGCACCCGCCTCCGCCCCGGACCCGCTGGCAGCCCGCGGGTCCCCGAGCCCCGGGGCACCTGCCCCTCCCAGCCCGGCCCGCTGGAAGGCCGCGGTGGGCGCCAGGACAGGACCGGCCCTGGGGAGACCCGGCCCACGACCCGTGGGCACCGAAGGTGCCATTTGCCATCCGAAAAGAGGATGCCGTCCGAGGTCATTCCAACGGGCGCACTCGGAAGTCTGGGCAGTCCCGTCCTTAAGTGGCGTTCCGAGTCCCAGGCAGAAGTCCAGGCTCCGCGGGGTTGGCCGTGAGGACAGGGGCGAGAGCGGGCATAACTGCGGCCCAGGCTGGGCTTCCCCGCACCCCCTGCGGCTGTGCACGCTTAGCCCCGAGTGCAGCGGAAACTTCTAGAGAAGCAATAGTCTATTCCTGCCTCCAAACCGGTGTCAGGGCCGGAGTCTGAGAAGGGAAACCTGCACTCTGGAGAAGCAGCTCAGTAGAGAAAACCCTGCCAGTTGTGTGGGCAGAAACCCAGCCCTCAGAAGCAGAGCTAGAGTCGTGGGTCCCGCAGACCTTCTGGGTCCTTCCGGGTCCTTCCTTAGCCAGGAAATTAGAGGCTGTGATTTCGGACAATGTAGGGAGGTGCCGTCCCCATGTATGGCCGAGGGGACCTGGCCCACTGAATGACCTCACCGTTGCTTAGGATAGGGTCGGCCTTCTGGACATAGTCTGTCTGAGAAATTCACCGGCATTTCAGATTGGAAATGTTTTCTTTGAACCTGATTTTTTAAAACCTTATCCCCTATCCCAAACCCTCAGGACTCTTTCTTGACTTTACAGTTTTGATCAATGGCATTTCCATGCTCCCGGCAGACCACCCACCTGACCATCTGTCCTTGTTCCTCTTGAAGCCAGGTTGAAGCTGCCCAGCACCCAGGTAGCCCCATACCACAGGGAATTCTAAATCAAGGCCTCCAGAGAAAAATTTTAGAACACCGGAGTGAAAACAGCCCCCCCCCCCATTGGCAATTACATTCTCCAGAGCAGCAGGAACTTTGTCTCCACCGCGTGCAGGCTTGTGAGGGTTACTCCCTTGGACTGAACTGTTCAGAAAGTAGCTACAGACCAGTTACAGGTCTGTTGTATCAGTATCCACCCTTGATTCTGCATCCAAAGTACAGAGTCTTCTGTGCCGCCAACAGGCAAAGACGCCTCCCCAGCAGCCCTGGTCATAATACCCCACTGTCCTCAGATCTGCTGAGCAGAGCCCAGCGGCGACACAGTTGCAGAAACACCTTAGCGAAGGCCTAGGCGGCCTTCACAGGCACCTAGCGAGACTCCAACCTCCGCAGCGCAGCAGTGTGTCCTTCTGGCTTTTCTTCGAGTTTCCCAAAAGTCAGTCAAATCAGAGTAGAAGCTTCTTCCAAGCCCTACATCCTGGGGAGGGAGTGGGGATGCATACAATTGCCGTAGGTCCTTACTGGCAGAATCATGCCCAGACACCAATGAGCAGACCAAATGTCCCTTCTGTTCCCTTACTCTTCTTCACCATCCTTCTCATTCTGCTCCCTTGTGCACCAGCCTGGGGGGCTGGATTGCTGTGTGGTTTCTAGGCTCTGTGGCACAGTCCCCCATCCAGGTCTTCCCTCCCCGAGAATCACCCCAGGCTGTATGTCCTTGCCCCCACCCCAGTCCCATTTAAAATCACCTCATTTGTGTCCCCTTCTGATCGGGCCTTGCACTCTGCTTTACAAAGTAGCAATTCGAGTCTGCCAATGGGACCATGTCCGTGGGTTTATACCCCTCCTCAGCCATCACCCTTGGAGATTAAACATGGCTTCAGGAAAACCAGGATGATACATAAAGCTCTCGCCCAGGAAAAGGGAAGGAGACTCCGGTGAGACGTATTTTAGAAGTAACAGGTCAGAGGCAGCTCTCAACTTTTTAAAGGTACAATGTACTGTTATGCTCTATGATTACCATACTAACTGCCCCTCGTGACTCTTCTGGAATTTCCTGCAAATTCGAAGTTCTGACATAACTTAAGTAGGGATAAAAATTCAATAGTCCATACCTGACAATTTATCAAATTAAAAAATAGAACATGCAAGTTCTTCTCCTGAGAACTTGGTAAAGTAAAAGTCATTGTGCCAATTCAGACTTCTGCTTTTTTGCCGCTTCGGTCTCCAAAGGTCAAAGCCAGGAACCACCATAAACTGATCATGTGTTTTGGTTCAAGAAGTCCTTTTTTAGACAATGACATAGAAAGACAAAAAACAAGCAAAGCCTGCCTATCTGTACACAAACACACATATAAAGAAACAAAGAAATACATCAGAGAAACAAAATAATGATCTCTACAGAGGTAAATGGAGGATAATTGCATTAATTGCGACATTAAAGGTGAAAACAATCAAATATCTTAACATTTGGGGAATGATTAAGTGAGCTATGATGTCTTCACCGTGTATATTTAATGGTGTACAATAGTGTATGTTACTTAGGAATTAAATAAAATGAGCTTACTATATAGATTTATAGAGAAGTTTGTAGTAAATATGGTTCTGCAAAAAGATACGACACAAAGTGGGATCTGCAGGTAACTAGTATACACAACATCAGTTTGTTGCGACTCCCTGTTGCACAGGCTGGTCTCTAGATACCAGTAGTGATCTGCTGGTCTGCTCAGGGGCCAATTAGGAAAAATAAAGATGTTTATGAACCTTATTTTTAATAATTATATCCTTTTTATGGAACTGTAGTAGTGTCAGTTAAAAAGGCTTTTAATATTTCTCATTTACATAACAATTCCTTCCTTCCTTCCTTCCTTCCCTTTCAGAAACTTTCTGAATAGCTTGTGCTGTCCTATCTTGTTTGTAACTCCAATGCTTTGAACAAAATTAGAGATGACTCCTGCACATACCAGGGTAAGACGGGGACCTGAGGGGTTTAGAAAAGTGGAGGTAAGTGGACCCCAGTTCATCTCCAGACTTGGAAAAGGAGAAGGCCACTGGGGAGCCCTGGGCACTGAAGGAACCTCTGTCCTTGGGGAGGAGATTATCCCAGAGAACCCCCAGGAATGTGGTGGTGGCTCGGTGGAGGGGCTTGTAGGTGAGTGGATACAAAGCCTCCATGGATGCCCATCCCCCACTGCAGCTCCAGTGCCTCCATCTCTCAGTAGAAAGCACAGTGACATCTCAGATGGGAGCAGGGGAGGGTGGGGACTTGCTTCCTGATGGGAGTGTTCAGAGTGTTCAAGAACAGGTGGCCAGACCTCACTTAAGACAAGGGAGGCCTCTGTTGGGCTCTCACAAAGGATTGGTGTCAGGTGATAATGTTTAAATTTCCCAGGTTCCAGGGAGTTGGTGCTGGGCAACTTAAGCCAGTCTCATCACCTTCCTGGCCTCCTTGGGGACACTCCTACCCATCAGCCTCCACCATCCCTGAAATCTGTGGTTAAGCTGAAAGTGTTGGGTTAAAAGAAAATAAACTGTAAGATATATATTAACATCTTTCATTAATATGAAAGGTAAACAGATTGATTCAGCTGTGACCTCCTACCAAAAGCTATAAGTTCCATGTAATCCATTCAGTCCTCTTCATTTTCACTGCTTACCTGTAAAACTGGGAAATTCACAATGATGTAGACCAAAGTCACCGCAACCCCAGGTTCATTTCTCAGACCATCTTAGTGGGCTCTTTCTGGCTGGTCACGTTTTACTGCAATTGGTCAGAGTAATACTGTGGAGTTTAGGATTTTTTTTCTTAAAGAGATTGTGTTTCACATTTTTTTGTACTTTAACATTACGTGTTATCAAACTGAAGATAGATTTAATTTTAGATGGTGGCAACAATTTTCATATCTTCAGGAATTTCTGTGTTTAACTGTTTATACAACCATTCCGCAAAGAGCAGATACCAACTCAGTGCTAGACATCATCCTAGACTCGACATGGGGCGCACGACCAAAAGAGAAAGAGGACACTTGCTGACGTCAAGCCTATAAAGGAAACAGACAAACATACAGCTGACTGTAATGTACTGTTAAATATCTGAGGCGCCGTATATTTGCTTCATTTTTGTTACTCTTCCCATTAAGAAAATGAGTATAACTTCCAGAGTGAACAAACCTTGGATGCAATCAAAACCAGCTCCCGACTAGAGAAAAAGGTGATCAAGATGGCTAGAACTTACAGTCCTAGTCAACCATGAGAGGAAAGTGTGGGAGGCTGGGGGTGAGGGCGGGAAGGAGAGAGATGTTCTATTTGAGTCTCCAAGACTGCCCACACTAGGAAGACCCTAAGGCGAACTCTAATTTGAAGTGCCTCTTAGAATATCTGAGTACAGGCTAAATATTCCTCATTCAAAATGCTTAGGCCCAGAAGGGTTTCAGAGTTCATATTTTTTCCATTGTGGAATATTTGCACTAGTCTTACCAGTGGAGCATCTCTAATCCAAAAATCCAAAATCCAAAATGTTTCAGTGAGCATTCCCCTTGATCAGGTCAGCACTCAAAAAATTTTAAACTTTGGAGCATTTCAGAGTCCAGATTTTCGGATTAGGGATGTTCAACCTATACCAAGAACATTGAAGTACTATACTAAGTATTTAATGGTTAACTGAGTTGTCTTAAGGCTCCCATTACTTTGGAACTCTTGCAAATTTTGTTTTTATTGCTGTGGTTATTATTGTTAAAAAGAAACAAAATTACAACAAATTTAAAGATCTAATTGGCTTTTATTTGCAATCCCAGAATCAGGCAGCAACTCATTCTATAAAACAGAATGGGTGTTCAATGAGCTGGGCAGAAGAGTTTGGCTTTATAGGCAGAAAAGGCTGGAGAAAGAAGAAACAGGGAACAAAAAGCAGATTGGTCGTTTCAAAGTGACTTCCATTATATGGTTAAAGCAGAGGGGACTTCCTCATAGACCTGGCTCGGGTAAACTGGACCCCTTCGGGTTGGTTGCTGTTCACCTCCTGGTTTTTGGAAAACTGCCCATTTTGAGTTCAGCTGGATGGCGTGTGGCACCTGGCAGGAGTGATTCCATTCTGCTTCGGCCTGGTCTGTTGGGCCTAGTCCAGGGGCTCAGTCCAAAACAATGGCTTCCCATAAACGTTATTTAACACTATTACTGAATTACTACTCTCATTGTTGCTCGTTGAATCTCCCCATTTTCCAACAGGACAGAGCCCGTTGTCCTCTGTAACCCTGTCCTGAAGTGGATGAGGGGCGAGTTCGCTAGCAGGACTGTGACGCCCCGTTTGGTGGGCGGGAGGGCACGCCGACGCCAGGCTGGTCGGCTCTCTAAGTGGACATTGGGCTCCTTTACCCCCAGTTTGTGTGAATTTAGGGAAGTTTCTGAATCTCTTGCACCTATAGTTTCATCCTCTGTCAAAGATGAGTATTAAAAGGCTGTTGCACTATTTGGGGGGAAGATTACATGAGATGTGTGTGTCGACAGCAAAGCCGTCCGCACGGCAATGTCCAGGTGTCAGTACCGAAACTCCTGCATTCGGGGAAACCCCTCAGCCCCAGGAAACCGGAACGGTTGTCACCCTGTTCCCTTCCCCAAGCTTATACAACTGTTTGGGGGTTGTTTCTACCCTTTAAAAAGGAAGTGTTAACTTCCAAACATCTACACTTCCTTCCTCAGTTTTTCAGCAGAAACAGCATCAGTACTTCACACAGCAACAAACCTCGCAGTTACCTGCAGTCTCTCTCCATCTCCCACTCAGCCCACAAGGGAGGCTTAAATATGCAAATTTAAACTTCAGCCAAATAACAACTGCTTCACTAAAAGATATACCAGGTTTTAAAAAAACAAAACCAAAAACAGGAAACAAGAAAAGATGGCTTCATTTCCCGGCCCTCTGGCCCCTTTCCGTACTTCATAATCCACTGTCACTCTCTATGGCTCTCTCTCCCTGACCCCACCCAACCCTTCTCCAATGTCATATTCTTCTCTTGAACTGACCCTTTCCCTCAGCGCCAACCCTCAGTGGCTCTGGTAGAGAGGACTTTCCTCTAAGTATTCCCTTAGCCCACATGCAGTTCCTGAGTTTCAAGCTAAGGAACCCCCCCCATGGTTCTACTGTCAGCGATTGTTCAAAACTGCTGTGGGGAGCCTGAGGCTGGAGAGACCCAGCTCTGTTTCTCCTAAGTTGCGGGAGGGAAATGCAGGCTGACATTCAGAAATCACAAGGAGAAAGACTGACAGATTTGATCACATAAAAGTTAACACCAACTTTGTGGAAGAAATACCATAAGTGCAATTTTTTTTGAGACAGAGTCTCAGTTTGTTGCCCAGACTAGAGTGAGTGCCGTGGCGTCAGCCTAGCTCACAGTGACCTCAAACTCCTGGGCTCAAGCGATCCTCCTGCCTCAGCCTCCCGAGTAGCTGGGACTACAGGCATGTGCCACCATGCCCGGCTAATTTTTTATATATATCAGTTGGCCAATTAATTTCTTTCTATTTATAGTAGAGACGGGGTCTTGCTCTTGCTCAGGCTGGTTTTGAACTCCTGACCTCAAGCAATCCGCCCGCCTCGGCCTCCCAGAGAGCTAGGATGACAGGCGTGAGCCACCACGCCCGGCCCATAAGTGCAATTTTTAAAAATTGCAATCTAGGAGAATATTTGGCATCAATATGACTCAGCTAATCTTAATATGGAAAGAATAGGTTTTAGTGGGTTTTCTTCCCCCAAAACCACCAGGATCCATTAGGAAAAATAAGCAAACACAGTCAGTTCACAAGCAGGAAATGCATGTATGCAGAAAGTCTTCAACCTTACATGTAAGTAAAAGTATAGATTAAAGCATCAAGAAACTATTTTCGGTCCTTGCCTGTGAGAGTGGCCACTGCGTTGGTGCTCTGGGGCTTGGACCCTGGCTAGCCAGAAAAAAAAAAAAAAAAAAAAAGAAACTATTTTCCACTTATCAAATCAGCAAAGTTGTAAAGCCCAAGGCTCCACTCTTTAGGGTGGAAAGGAGAAGGCTTGGTCAGGCCAGTCAGAAAAGAAACAGGTCAGACTTTTCGGGGTCTCGCTTTCTTTATGTATGTTAATGTCCTCACAGCCACTCTCTGTCATGTGGCTGCCCTCACATATCTTTTCTGTGATGCAATATTTATTTTATGTTTTACTCTCCATGAGCAAATTTATACCCTCGTCTTAACAAGTTTAATTCTAGGTTCTGGTGGGCACTGGGGGTAAAGAACCTGCAAGCTCCGTGCTCCTCACGAAATATGCAACTTGTGCATCTAGAGGATAAAGAGGGGAAGAAAAGGAAACTTAAACCAGAAGTTTTCCACTCTTCGATTTCGAATATGAAAGTCTGGGAAGGAGACTGACTCAGATAGTAATAAAAGCTAACACTCATTGAGTGCTAATTGCTGGGGAGGTACCAGGTAGCTAGCACCCTGCCAACCATCTTATATCAATGATGTCATGCTCTCCTCCTGCCTCCAGGAAGGTGCTGTTGTTCTTCACACTGAGGCAGGGTTCCTGCAAAGATCTGCCGTGGTGGGCCACTGCCAGGATTCAAGCCCAGGCACTTCAGTAGATGGGCAAACTACCACACCACGTGTTCAGTTAGTTTTTAGTTCATAGTTACCAGGGGCATGCAGGCAGTGTTAGAGAGTGGGAAGTAATATCCCAGAATTAGATGTAGAGAATTAGGAGCTGCTGCACAGGATAAGTGAGTCAATGCTGGCTGCCATAGTCACACACACTGCTATTGGGACAGACCCTATTTCTCGCCATGGATTCAGAACAGCGTCCCTAAGATTTTGGTGTTCCCTGCAGGGCTGAGAAATCTCTCCCCAAAAGTAAAATAATAAACATTTGTTGAACACAAGATCATATCTATGAAACACATTTCCTATGCAACTGTATTATTCTCAGTGCTCTAGACGTACACTTTACAAAAATGAAAAGAGCAAACAATTAACCCAACAACGATGTTTGTGATGGTTAATTTTATGTGTCAACTTGGCTAGGCCATACTTCCCAGATATTTGGATAAACATTATTCTAGATGTTTCTTTGAGGATATTTTAGATGAGATTCACATTTAATTCAGTAGACTTTGAGCAAAGCAAAATACGCTGCTGATGTGGGTGGGCCTCATCCAAGCAGTTGTAGGACTTAAGAGAAAAAGACAGACCTCTCTAAAGGAAAAGAGAATTTTGCCCGCAGATGGCCTTCAGACACAAGCTGCAACAGTAATTCTTCCCAGGGCTGCAGCCTGCCGGCCTGCCCTGTAGAGTTTGGACTTGCCAGCCTCCACACTCACATGAGCCAGTGCCTATTGTCTCTACCTTTCTCCTGTTAGTTTGTGTTTCTCTGGAGAACCCTGATTCTATTAATATTCCACTGTTTTTTCTCTTGTCCCAAACCCTCCACACAGTCTAGCAGCCGGAGACGGAGGATGCCAGCAAGGAGCCCTGGCCTCAGGAAGCCTACAGTCCAAGCTCATCTCTGGACCATGCCCCTTTGAAGAAAAGACTATTTCCCAAGCCTCTCTGGCTGTGGCCCCAGTGGAGAATTCTTGGGCACAAATGTGGGTTTAGCTCCATTAATGTTGCTAGGAGAAGGCAGTAAAATAAAAAAATTTGAGATGACAGATTCAGGGCCAAGGCAGAAAAGATGTGGTCCATAAGGTTTGAGCTAGTGTCCAAGAAGTGGCAGAACTGTTGCAGAAAGAAGAGCCAGTGGAGGGGCAGAAATGAATCAGAGCTGAAGACGGTCGTGCAGAATAAAAGAGAATGGCCACTGAGTGGGGTTTTCAGCCCGAGGGGAAGAAGGCCGCACTTTGGGAAGATTTCACTGACCACACCAACAGCATGGCCAGGCCTTGTCTAGACTGCATTATCTAGCCTTGCTCAAGGGCATGATCCCAAGAAAGGAAACAAAAAAAGCCACACTGGCCAGGTGCAGTGGTGCGCACCTGTAGTCATAGCTGCTTGGGAGGCTGAGGCAGGAGGATCTCTTGAGCTCAGGAGTTCAAGACCAGCCTGGGCAATG